AAATAAAAAGTTTATTTAACTAATTGTTTCAAAATGTATTTTTTGGCTTTGAAATTTTGGCTCTCTCATACGTTACAAACAAACAAAAAAATAAAAAATTATATTAATTTATTATTATCATTATTACTATTATTATTATTATTATTATAAAAATGTAAAAGTTTTTTTTTTTTTTCGTTTTCTCCTATCCTTTTTCCTTCATCTTATACGCATTTTCTTCTTTTTCTCTCTCTCTCTCTCTCTCTCGGAAACAAAAGTTATTAGCGGAAACGGAAGTTTCAAATTACTGTAATAAATCACGAGGCAAAAAAAATTATTAATATTATTATTATTATTATTATTATTATTCCTTTTCTTTTTTTTTTTAATAATTTTTTTCGATTGTATAAATTATTATTATTATTATTATTATTATTATTTAAATGGAGGGAATGAATAAGTTTAAATGAAAATTTAAAAAAAATTTTTTTTAAAACGTCTTTAAAATATTTTCTTTTCAAAAACAATAATAATAATAATAATTTCATTTTTAAACTGAACAACAAACAACAACAAACAGAGGAACAATCAAACAATCAGATGACACAATTTTTGAATTAACTAAAAAGAGATTTTTAATAAAAAAAAATTTTTTTTTAAATCAATATGATTATTATTATAAATTATTTCCCCACCCCCTTCCCCTCCCTCTCCTCCCCAAATATTTATGTTCATCAGATAATTTTTTTTCTTCTTCCACGACGATAATCGTTTACCGTTTTCATACCGACGGACTAAAACTTTTTTTCTTTTGTCAAAAACTTTTCTTTTATCATTTTTTTTTCTTTTCTTCGACCTTGACCCTCCAGTGACCTTTTCCAGTTTTTTGAAATGATGACAAAATCATTTAATTTTTACATAACTAATAAACAAATCCTTTCCCCCCTCTTGATAAGAAACCTTTTAATAATAATAATAATAAATAAAACTCATTAATTATAATTAATATTACCTAATAATAAAATTACAACTATCAAATCAAATAATTTTATTTATTATTATTATCATTATTATCATCATTATTATCATTATTACACGTTTCCATAAATAATAATAAAAAACATTAAAAAAAAAAAAAAAAAAAAAAAAATGGAAACCACTTAGCCCGTCGTCCACTCATCACGAATCCAAAATACACAATAAAGAAAAAACATGTTTAAAAACAATATGGCGGACACAATATGGCGGAACAAAAATGGCGAAACAAAATGGCGGATAAAAAATGGCGGAAAATAAAAATAAATAAAAAAAATTCATATTTTATTTTTTTTTTTACGACATTTATTTATTTTTTATTTATTTATTTTTTTTAAATTTTTTTATATTTTTATTTTTTTTTTGCGTAATAATTAATTATATTATTTTTATTTTTTTTAATTAAATATTGGATCGATAATTTAATTATAATTTAACCTAATTAAATAATAATAATAATAATATTTAGTCTCGTTCACATGATTAATAATTAAAAAAAAAAGAATAGTAATAATAATAATAAAAAATTTTGAAAAAAAAAAAAAAAAAACAAATACAAACAATATTATTAAAACCGACTTGACTTGCGAGTTTCGTTTATCAATTATCATTATTATCATTATTATTATTATCATCATCATCATCATCATTATTATTAATATTCGTCGTCGTCGTACGAAATTTTTTTTTTTAATATATATTTTTTTATTCACACATGGAATTGTACATTGACTATTTTATTCATTTATTTATTTAATCATTTATTTATTTATTTACTTATTATTATTATTTATTTATTTAATCAATTAATTAATTAATTAATCATTTATTTATTTATTTAATTGTTTATTTATTTATTTATTTATCTATTCTTTTATGTATACGAGATGACGTTACGTTCATCTCTCTCTCCCCCTTCCTCCCTCTCTCTCTTTCTCTCTCAGCTGTGTTTTATACATATTACAAATATAATAATATAAAAATAAAATAAATAAATAAAAATGAGAGACGAAAAAAAAAAAAAATCGGGAGAAGCTTTTCCATCATTTTTCTTATTCCAAAAAAAAAAGGAAAGAGAGAGAGAGAGAGAGATGAGTGATCACCATATACAAATGTGATTTACAAAAGGAAAACAAAAAGAAAAACCAAAAAGCTTCCCCGTAGATTTTATTATTACACGCACGCACGTACTCTCTCGCATGCACGCGCACGCACGCACACACGAACGCACTTTACGGTGCGTACACATAATAAATATATATTTATATATATATAAAAGTTAAATAAAAATGATTCATATTCATTTTAATAATAATAATTAAAATATACATAATATAAATTTAAATAAAATTAAATTAGAAAGCACAAGATCCCGGCCCAATTTAATTTCATTTATTTACACCGGATTTCATTACATCATCATCATCGTCATCATCATCTGCATAGATTCATTATTATTATTATTATTATTATTATTATTATTATTATCATTATTATTATTATTAAAAAATAATACGATTCCGCCGAAACGATTTCAAATACTGCTGACTGAACTTTATTACACATTTACAATTACAATTACAATCACAATTATTATTATTATTATTATTATTATCATTATTTTATAATTATATGAATTTCGCGCTCCCCTTTCATCCCTCTCTAACCGCCCACCCCACCCCACCCCCAAAAAATTAGAATCAAAATTACAAAAAATTAAAAAAATTTCCCAAATAAACAGGGAAATATCACAAAATTTATTTACTTTTACATTATCATTATTATTATTATTATTATTATTATACGTTACATATTATTACGTAACAGAGTTTTATTCATTCATTCATTCGCACGTTACATTGTTAAAAAAAAAAAAGGCGGAGTTTTTTGCATCGATGGAATATTCGAGAAAAAAGAAAATTATTGTTATCAAATTTAAATGCTCGTATACAATATACAATGTTAATTAATTATTGACACATTATATTTTAATATTAATTTTAAATATTTTTTTTGTGTCCGTTTTTTCGTATTTCGCGCCATTTTTCATTTTGGGTACTCCTTTGTTTCCTTTTCCCCTCCCTCCCTCCCCTTCCCCTAATTTTTATTTCAGCGGGAAAAATTGTGCGAATTTAAATTTAAATTTAAATTTAAAAAACAAAAAATAATCACGTCACGCAAAAATAAAAATTTCACCCTCCCCTCCTTCTTTTTCTCGTATCCCCTTCCTCTCACTCACCCCACCCCCCAACTCCATCCCTCTATCAGTTTAATTTTTCGGCACAATTATTATTATTAAAAGTTAACGTTATAAAAAAAAAAAAATTCGTAGTTTCCCGCCCCTCCCCCTCCCTTTTTCTCCCTCATCATTCACTCTTTTGTCTTTCATTCTTTCTCACCCCTCCTCTCTCTCTATCCCCTCCCACTTACAAATCACCGCCTTCGCGAATCGAAAATAAATAAAAACAAATAAAAGCCACGTGCGTACGTGCGTGCGTGCGTTTTTCGCGTTAAAACTATTGTGCGTGCGTTCGTGCGTGCGTACTCGCGTTCGTCGTGTCTTTTTTATTTTCACTTTTTTTAAAAAAATCGATGAAATATTATTTATTATCCGCTTAAATTATTACATCCTTTTGCATGCATGATAAAATAATTTACGAAAAAAAAAAAAAAATTATATATATATTTATATATATAAGATGAAAAGGACTGGAAAATAATAATATTTAACGTCGAAAGGCTATTATTATCATTATTAAATTCTCTTTTTTGCTATTCAAGGATTTTCCAACCTTTTCCCTTCATTTTCCTTTTTTTCCATTTTACATAAAAAAAATGTACATTTTTTAAGGGAAAAAAAATTTTTTTTTTTTTACAACAAAAAATATCACAAAACGCTATTTCTCTCTCATGACTCCACTTATTGAAATGTGTACGTGTGTGCACGTGCACGTTCTTATCAGTGCGAGAAATATGCGTACGTACGCACACGCGCCACGTGCGTAAAATAATAATAATAATAATAATAAATATTACATGTACCACCACAACGACCACATTTTTTATTTCGGCGAGTTTTTCCACTCGCATTTGACACGCACACATTTTTTTTTTGAATTTATTTCATTCGTCAAAAAAGAGAAAAGAAAAAAAAAAAACAAAACAAAAACTTTTTAAGAGAAAAATAATAATAATAATAATTAACGCGCGTTCGAGTAATTGTATAAATTACACAGGCTTTCTCTCGTTATGGACATTTTTTTTTTTTCTTTAAAATTTCCTGAGTTCGCTACTGCTTTTACATATATATATATATATTTTTTTTTCCCCTATCGTATTAATAATAATAATAATAATAATTTATTACGTGCGTTTTAATTTTGTCATTTTTTTTTTTTTTTATTTACCTCATCATCTTTCTCTCTCTCTCTCATTATATAAAATGCTTTTTATGCGCTTTTTTCTCGTTTTTTTTGTCGTCGTCATCATCATCATTATTATTATTTCATTTCGAATCATAATAATAACAATAACAATAACAACAACAACAATAATAATAATAATAACTATTATTATATTTATTTATTTATTTTTATTTTATTTTTTTTTCATTTTTTCCAGGTGTGAAAAAGAATTTCCAAGTTTGGGAGAAAGAAAAAAAAAACAAGAAAATATAAAAGAAAACAAGGTGAATGACCTGGAAAAAAATCACGTGATAAATACTACATACAAAACACCCACGTTACGGAGCATACATGCACACACACGCATACATACACATACGCCGTGCATGCACGTAATTTGATTTTGATAATTATCATTATCAATATCGTTATAATCATTATTATTATTATTATTTATTTATTATTTATTTATTTTTTTATTAAATTAATTAATTTTCAATTTTGTTTTTTTTTTTTTTGTTTTTTGTTTTATCCTCATCTAAATCAATTATCGAATGATTCCTATAATTAATAGATCCATCGTCAGACGGTGCTGCGATCACATTTTCCTTTGTTTTTATTATTATTATCAATCGTCCTATTTTCACACGTGTTTCCGCCGGAATGAGATCTCGAACCACCACCACCACCATTACCACCATTACCACCACCATTATTACCACCACCAGAACCGACAACACGTTCGTCCAAGGTTGTTGCGCGAGATCCCTGCCGTACATCTGCGACCACGGTAGTGGTTGCACTGGTGCTCGCGGGTGTGACGCATTGGACCGTCGGAAGAGAAGCGAGACTCGAACCCGAAGCCGCCGCTCTGTCCGAAAATGCCGACAATCTCCGACACCTGTGAGAGGGAACGACGACGCTCACGGAACTGCTGCTCGCCTTTGAGGAACTCCGGGAAGTGGATATCGAAGACATTGACGAATCTTCGGTGCTCGAAGACAGGTGACACCGTTTACCGCTCAAACACCTGACCGTTCGACCTGAAATGTTAAAATCCAACCGTTCGTTTATCATCCCCCATTTGAAATAAAATAAAATACACGAATAAAAATTTTTTTTTGTCCATCGAACGTTCCAGAATTTCCGGTTTTACCAGAAAAAATTTCTAATCTTATACTTGCCGCTCCTGGAAAATTTATATATGTAAAATCAATCGGTCGATTCGCTCACTCACCCAAAATATTGGCTGGTCTTTTGGAAGACGCGCCGCTAACGCTATGACATCGTACAACTAAACTACTGCTACCACCACTGCTAGATGATCCGGTTGACCAATCCGAAGAGGACAATAAACCCGACGAACTGGATTGATAAGACGGAGGAGGGGATTCTCCATCGAAAACAGTCCTATTTGGAGGTGCTCGAATACACTTTTGGTAAATTTCGCTCTCCTAAAAAAAAAAATTTTTTTTTTAATAAAATAAATATTATTATCGTATCGATAATCAATCAATCGATTAATCAATCAATCAACCAATCAATCATCATCATCATCACCTGTTCGGGATCTCGTATTTGTAATCTAGTAGCGCTGCCATAAGGAATTTCTTCGCCATCCGGCAGAGGGATTGAGGGAGGAAGATCCAACGCAATGTCGGTCTGAACACTTTGAAGACGCACGAGGCGATCACGCTGCGCAGACAGCTCATGGCTCAGTCTGTCCATCCCAGGCTGCTGTAGTGCCAACATCTGGAAAAAAAAATACAATATCGATCACTTAAAAATTTATAGCACTTTAATTTTTTTTTTCTCGTTTCACACCTCCCTCCCCAGAAAAAAAAAAAAAAAAAACGCGAGCAATGGGATTTTCACCTTTTTTGCCTTCCGTTTCCGGATGACGTTTTTAACTTTTTTCGTCGTTTTTTTCGCCCATCGGCTTATGTTTGAACCCATGAATGACTTACAGGTCAATATTATTGATGGACTTATTACGTCACAACACTTAAAAATCATAGATGAAATTCACTTTTTTATATATATATATACTTATAAATACACGCACGCATAATAATTTTTTTTTCTTTTAATGTTTGTTTGTTTGTTTGCCTGTTTGTCTGTTTGTTTTTAAATCACGTCGTGTAATATTTTCCGGTTTTTTCGCTTTTTAAAAAACGACATTCCCTGTTGAAGAAAAAAAGAAAGAGATTGAGTCAATCATTCCGTGATTTTCACCGCAATGGATAAACAATAAAAAGAAAAAATTTTGACACACGTCACCCCTCCCCCCTCCCCGGGCTGTTGCCACCATTCTCATCACTACCCCTTCCGAAATTCATTCCGAACCATTCAAAAAAAAAAAATCCGCCATTACTATTATTATTACCATTTAGAAAAAAACAAACCGCAAAGCATGTTACGAGAATCATTTTCTTTTTTTTTTTTTTAATAATTCGTTTTGGTTGGTCGTCGCGTTTTTGAGAGAGAGAAAAAAACCGTCTCGAGTTAGTCATTATTGACAAAGAAGAGAAATAATAATAATAATAATAATAATAATAATAATAAAAATTTCACCCGGATTTTCTATCGCATGACATGCAGACTGGCAAATATTCCAGACTGAATTATTCCATGCAAAAACAATAAAAAAAAAAAAAAAAATTCATCGAACAATGAAAATCATTCGTCGGAAATAAAAACGGGCAAATAATAAAAAGAAAGAAAGAAAGAAAGAAAGAAAGAAAAAAAAATCAAAATTATTTTTCTTCTGCTTCAAAACTATTTAAAAAGCAAACAAAAAAAAAATATCGATATGATGACGAAAAGTGCGTTCAGGTATTTAAGTAAGAAAGAAAAAATAGTCACGGAAAATTCATTTTGCCTTCTGCTTTTTCCTCGTGACTCCCTTCCTTTATTCCTCCCTCTTTCCATCTCCCTCCCTCTCTCCCTCCCACCCTCATTCCAGATGGGTAGAGAAAAAAAAAAAGAAAAGATTATCAAACCGACGTTTTGTGATTGATTTCCTTTTACTTCCGGTTTGACGTTTAAAATTACAATAATAATTTATAAGGGATAAAAAAAAGGAAAAAAATTTAAATAAGAAAGATGTACAACCTTTTTCTCCCACCCCACCACACCTCCACCCCCCACTTCTTGTGAATTTATAAAAAAAGTGGAAAAAATAGGAAAATAAAACGTTATAAAAAAAAAAAAAAAAAACTTAAGCACGAATAATCATGACCCAGAATGAAAAAAACAAAAAAAAAAAAAAAAAAAAAAAAAAATATGCACAGAAAGTTCAATGCAGCGTCGGCTCGAACGAATTAATCGTCGTCTGCAATGCGCGAATTCTTCCGTCTCGAAAAAAAAGTAAAAAAAAAAAAAAAAAATTTTTTTTTTTTTCTAAACAAATAATTCAAGTGAAATTAATTTCTTTGGGTTGTTAAATACAATAAAAATTAAAAGGGCAAACAAAAAAATTTTTCAAAAACATCCGATACGTTTCGCGCCTAAAAAAAAATCGACTATTGACACTTCCATCCGCCCACGCATTCACTCATCCCCTCACCCTTCCCTACCCTCTTGATTGATCGGCCACGAAAGAAGAAAAAGAAAAAGAAAAAATCAACTCGAGTAAGTTTACTTTTTTTTTATTTCTTCTGCCACGACGACAGGGAAAAGATAATAATAATAATTATTTTTTAAACGACGGGGTGTGTGGAAAACGAGTCAAAAATAATTTTCCGGCCATCCTCCCTTTCTCCCACCCCCCCCCCGTTTAAAAATTTACATTAATGATATACTTCATCCATTACGTCTAGTAAAATAACACGACGACAGCAAATTTTTCCTCTCCTTTCCTCTTTCGCCCCCCCTCTCTCTCTCTTTCTCTCTCTCTTTTCCACTCGTTTATTCTGACCCAAAATTCATACCGACTAACATTAATGTCATCATCATCATCACGGCAAGTTTTTTTTTTTTAATCGTAAAAGCTAAATCACGCGTGATAACGCGACCGACACAGCGATAATAACAAGAAAGGATGTCGTCGGTCATATTTTTCGTAGCAATTGACTCAATTGATTAAAATGTCATCATCATCATCATCATCATCATCACAAAAACAAACGAACCAACAAACAAACAAACAAACAAGAAAATAAAAAAAAAAATAATTTTGACGATTTGAACAAAACAACGACGGTCTCCAATGATGGAAAAACTAGATTGAAAAAAAAAAAAAAAAGAGTGAAAACCATAGAAAGAGAGAGACAGAGGAGGAGGGAGAAAGAAGGGAGGGGGAAGAGAGGGAGGAGAAGAGGGAGAGTGGGGGAAATTTAAAAATTTCGTCTGCACGCCGTCTGCTTCGTCGTGAATGATACACATGAAAAAATTTCAAATGGATTTTGTGGGAATTTCCGAAATATTTAGAAACCGTAACGGAAAACACCTGAAATGTTTTTTTTCTTTCTCCTCCTCCTCCTCCTTCTCCTTTTTTCTTTTTTCTTTTTCTTCTTTCTTCTTCTTTCTTTTTCTTCTTTCTTCTTCTTCCACTTTTTTTCTTTTTATTAAAGAAAATTCATTTGTTTCATTGGTTTTTTTGTATTTTTAAATGAAAACTAAAACATTACCAACATTAAAAAAAAAAAAAAAAAAAAAAAAAAACGAAAATCGGATCAAAATGTAAAAGACATTTTTTTTTCGTCGTCTCCTTTTGAAATTCGACGACGACGACGATGACAAAAAAAAAAAAAATTAAATTCAATACTTTTGCACGAGTTCGACGACAATCGACGATGAGGACGAGGAGGACGAGGAGGAAGACAACAAAAGACAAAATTAAATGTCCGGTTTAATTTTGACACACGATTAATAAGTCGTTTATCATGATCGCCATTTTTAGTTTTTTTTTTTTACTTTTCTTTCATAACTAATAATAATTAAAACCGATAATTTTTCATTTAATTTACGTTCCCACACGTTATCCCTTCATTATTATTATTATCATCATCATTTTTGGGACAAAAGATTTTTCTCTCCGGGATAAATTTACGACAAAAAAAAACGCAAACACAACCGATAAACAACAGCAAAATTTTTCATTTTACACACACACACGTTTAACCCTTCGCAAAATATAAAATATTTTTTATTATTATATTTTTGCATGTTAATAACTTTGACGATAACTAAAACGACAAATTTTTGTCGTGGTATCAGACAAATTTTTTTTTTTTTTCCTTCATTCATTTTTTTAAAACGTTTCTTTTTTCATTTAAAAAAAATCTGACACTCGCGGCAACGACGAAGACCTTTTATTACTACCACGACTTTCACGAAGATTTTAATTTTATTAAAGGGCGGAGGGGCTGAGAAGAGAGGGAGGAAATAATGAATACCCGTTCGAAAATATTTTTAATTGATATTAATTACAAATGAAACTCGTTGAAAAATTAATTTTTAATTAAAGGCTAAATCGTAAAATTTTATACGAATGTTCTTCGGAAGTGATGGGAAGGAAAGAAAAAAATGACGGATGCCAATTACAGAGAGAGAGAGACAGATAGATGGGGGGATGTAGAGGGAGGGAGGGAAAAAGAAAGAAACGGATAATGTTAAAATAATATTACTCGTTATCTTAACTTTTTACCCCTTTTAACCCCTTGTTCTTCGCTTCGATTCGGGTCATTTCGCTTCGTCTCGCCTCCACGATACTTTCCCACCTTTCCGCATCCGTTTAAAAAAAAAAAAAAAAAAAAAAAAAGAGCGGGAAAAAAATAAGACACGGTTAAAAAACACACGTTATTATTAAGGGATGGTAAGGTATTAAACAAGAGAGAGAGAGAGGGAGAGAGGAATGGATGAGAGGGGTGGGCAAAGGAAAAGATAAATTAATGCGGGGAGAGAGATAGAAGAGGGATGGAAACGTGGGAGGAAAGAAAAGGAAGGAAAAGGAAAAAGTAAATTACACGAAATTAAAACGATGCCTACTTTAAGGCGGCGGTGGCGAGGGGCGGAGTCGGGGGAAGGGGGGCGTCGGCAGCAGCATTCATTCGAAATGTGAATTTATATACATTTTACCTGAGATCTCTCTTCCTACGTTTCACTCACTCTCTCCCACTCTCTCTCTCCTTTTAATTTCGACTTTACCTCCCTTCCTTTGAAATTCCTTCGGTACAAAATTTAAATTTCACATTTAGAGAAAATTTAATTTTCGTTTTGGCAAAATTTAACGGATAAGAAATTTGGCCGCGTGGAAAATTTCAACGTTAAAATCAAAAAGGATCTATTTTACTGCTATAAAGAGATTCGAAAAAGTTTTACAAACAAAATAAATGAATTTTTCATTTCGTTTTTCCTCACGACATTTTGTTTTTTTTTTTTATCAACCGTCACATCCGAATAAATTTCCGGTTCCGGTTTTTTAACAAAAAAAAAAAAAAAAATTAAAAGCGAACAGGTGTTCCATATAAATATATATAAATCTCGTTCGTTAAAAGCAACGGCCGAAAAATGCCAGATGCGTTCAAATCTCGAATCTTTGACTCCTTACGTTTTGATATCGCTGCTGCCACGTCACCACCCTCACTCCCGCCACAATGATCAATCAACAAACTATTTTTTCATATATACTAACATACGATTATATCAAAATAATCAATTTTTTTTTTTTAATAACACACTCGCCTATCTCATTCGCTATTTGTTCTCTCAATCATTATTCTTTACATATAAATTTTCATCTCGACCTTTTCCCCCCTCCTTCCCCCTTTTTTGTTACAAACAAGAGAGGAGAAAACGAAAAACAAAAAACAAAAAAAAGGGAAAACTTAACAAAACATAAATAGTTTGAATTGCACATCGTGCGAAAGTAAACTTGTTGAATTTCGTCACGTCACAAATAAATAAATCGACAGGTGAAAATGCTTAGTAAAGCATTCGAGCATAATATCAAA